AATGTTGCATATAAAAGAAGCCAGATACTAAATCTAAATTTAAAAAAAAAAAAAAAAAAAAGGGCAAGTTCTGCCACCAACTGGAAATGCTATGTCAATCTAGAAGATGTTGTACTGAAGTGTATGTCTTTAGTTCCAGGAATTTTAAGCTCTATGTGAACTCTGACTGGCTTCCCAGTATAGATATGAATCTTGTTGAAGGAGTTTATCCATATTTCCTTCTGATTGGAAAAATTTAAATAAGATTTGTTTTACATGGCAGAAAATCTAAAGAAGCCAGGACAAAAAGGGCATTAAGTATTTTTTATATAGTTATTCTTTATTCATCATTTTCATCTATGTTCACAGGACTCTGGGGTATTGAATAGGCTGATCATATTATCTGTTGTGTGTGAACAGGGGAGCCTCTTTCCAACAGCCTTGTTCTGCACTTTCCATTGTTTTATAAGACTTGCTGTGGACACATCACATGACTAACCCCTTATTTAAAGATTATTCCATGCCAACCTCCTTACTTCCTGCAAACATGACACCCTATGCTTTCTGCTTCCCCTCTCTGAGTCTGGAAGCTGCAGTGACTGTGGCTGAAGGAAAGTGAGTAATTCTGAGTTATTGTAACCAGTACATGGAGACCATCTGAGATTTTGTCAGATTTAGGGTTTGTTGGTACAATACTTACCTCTGCTTTTTCTGCTTTTAAGTCCCCTTGGGCTACTTCTTTTGTAGAGGTGAAAAAATCTAGAAAGACATCATTGTTTGCAGCGATACAGGCTAGAGACTGACAGACTGAGGAACATGGAGCTTTACTGAAAAGGGTATGGAGATTTTGCAGACAACAAGCAGAGCATTAGCCAGCAATGTGTCCTGACGGCAAAGTCACAACTCTGGACTGACAGCAGGAGCACAGCCAGTAGGTTGAGGGAACAGATTGTTCCCTTTAGCACTCATTAGATCACACCTAGAATTCTGCACCCAGATTTGGCCTTCGATGTAGGGAAGATATGGATAAACCATAATAGGTTCAGCAGAGGACCAGCAGGATGGTCAGAACCTGAAGCACTGCTCTGTGAGGAGAACCTAAGCAAACTGGGCTTTTTCAGCCTGGAGAAGAGACAGCTTTAAGTGGTCTCAACAGCAGCCTTGTAGTTGCTATAGGGAGTTGAGTCATCAAAAAGATGGAGCAAGGCTTTTCACAGTGATGCGTGGCAAGAGGATGAGAAACAATAAACATAAACTAAATCAAGAGTAAATAGGCACAGGGAAAACCTTTTTCTCCACCAGGACAGTCAAACATTGCAATAGGTTGCCAAAGATGTTGTGCCATCTCTATTCTTGAAGTTTTTCAAGATCAGTTTTAAAAACTCTGGGCAACCCAGCCAAACCTCATATCTGACTCTGCTTTGAGCATGACCCTAGGCTAGAGATCTCCTGAGAGCCTCTCTTTTCTGAATAACTCTGTGATTGTGTTGTCATAATATAGTATCACAATTCTGGGGTAGTAATAACAAAACTTTAATTGTTCTGAATATTTAAATGATTTGGCTGCACATCACTTTTGGAATCCAGAAATGCTACATATGCCCTGTACGTTCTCCAAACAGCTTGTATTTGTGCTTATTTACTGGTATGACGTGCAAACTGTGCAAAAATATTGGACTCTAGCCTTGGAATATAGATACCTGCCAACAGAAAATGAAGGCTACATGGTGCTGCAAATGCTTTCTCTGTCTATGGAAAGTGCCTTTTATGTGCCAGAAAGAAGCATTTATACCACATGCTTTTTTTACTGCTTCTCACATCTGTTAACATTTACATGTGTCAGAAAACAATACCTGAACAGTAAAGGGAAGGGATACATGAAGTTCAAGGGTATTATATCAAGAAAAATGGCATGTCATATTGCATATAGTACATTGGAATAAAAGAAAAGGAAAAAGGAAAAAGATTTCTTGGACTTGTCAAATATACCTAATACGTGGGCGTAGTTTGTATATACTATCTATGAATGCATTTCCATACCTGAATTGAATGACCCAAATTGCCAGTAAATGGAACTGAACCCATGAAAGGGTCAAGGAGTGATAATCAAGAGGTGAAAGAATTATAAACATCTTGGTTTATTAAAAAAAGAATAATTTTTTTTTCATGAAAGGCAGGATTTATATAAAAATCTTCAAAGTTGGGTTCCTGAATACAGAATTACCCTCTTCTGTTGAAATATTTTGCAGTTTTGATAATCTTCTCTTCAGCTGTCTTTTTGTTAGTACAAAAAGAGTAGGTTAACTGACAAATGTTGCTGTATATCCACAGTCCTTAGAGGCAGCTACTGTATTGGGCAGTGTTTCCAAGAACAGTGCTTTGAAGTCTCACAGTGAAAATCCTGAGACACAGTGTAGTACTGGATTTTGTATGACGTGGCAGTTCTTGCAGATGTTACCACTGGCAAGTGATTTAGAAGAGCTGCAAATTAGAGAGAAGCTGATCTGTGATCCCCTGAACACAGAAGGAAAAAATCAGTATTTGATACCTTTGGTTACATATGTACCACTAGTTCATTAGGCATATGTTTGGGTCTTTTGTACCAGTTTAATGTGGGATTCTGTTCTTTGATGCCTCACACAGATTTTCTAAAATGCACCTACAGAAGGAGCATGGATCCTCCCCTACAGCTATTGTCATTGCTAAATATTGAGTTCTTTGTGGAAAGCGACAGAAAATACCTATTCTCCCATGTCTTTTGAGTCTAGAAAGAAATTATGGCTAAAATAAGATATAATTAACCTTGAATTTAATCCTACCTAACGTGTAGTCATAATAAAGGCAAAGGTCAATTTTTGTTTTTTCCTATGTTCCTACTAGATAATGTATCTCTAAAACACTATTTTTGATGAACATCTGCTCTTGCACATGGATACAAGTCTTATCTGAAATTATTCTGGATGTTAGAGTTCCACACTCACTACACTGAAAAAGCCTTGCATTAGATCTGTGAAGATGTGATGAATAATCACATAAGGCATATGGTTTCCTTGCCCCCAAATTTAAAACCTAGAGCTTTACCAGAACCACCATATGAACAGCATGTGCATACATATTTTTGGGTTTGAGTCAGGGATATGAAGGATCTATAGCAGTTTTCTTCTCTTAGTTGCACAAGAAAGTTGTGAGGCACCTGAAGAATCAAGTGGTAATTTAAGCTGATGAGAAATCAGCTCTTGACAAATGGCAGAGAAGAAAGATCTTCATCCAGCAGTGTTTCTAAAGGAAAAAATAGAAGTTAAGCATTTGATAAGCTTGCATTCTGGTCTTTGTGCTTTGTAGAGCTGCTTTATTATTACAGGCAGACCTGTGGTCTCCTTAGTCTTGCTTCCACTTGAAGTCTGTGGTGAACCTTCCACTGACTTCTCTGGTTGCTCCCCCTGGCCCGGATTTTGCACACAAATAAAGTATAGAAACATTTCTTCTCATGTCACTTTAACTCTGGTCTATCCTTTCAGAAGGGTTCATATTTTAAGAGTCCTACCTAGTTACTTGGACCTAGATATCTGATTACAGGAATTGAAAGTTTAAGAGGAAGGATTCCTAGGAAAATATTATCATTGATGCTTAATTGATAATAATAATGCTGTTTCTGACATAATTCAAGGCTATCACAGGCAGTCTTACATGATGCATGGAGAGGTCAAAGGGTGAAAGGTGACTGGAAAGATGCTTGTTTTGTGCATTTGGCTAACACAAATACTTCCTCAAGTACAAAATGCTTTGATCTCTCTAAGTAAATGCCATATGTGTGCAGCTGTGGCCCATGCCTCACGACTGCTGGAAGGTTAGGAAAAGGTAGCATATGAATTTGATGTCTGCATTCAATTTATGCTTTTATATTTAGCAGTTCATAATTTTGTGTAATATTTTAGCTGTATGAAAAATATGTTCCAGAGTTGAGTGATAACAGATTTCTCTGTGGTTTAACTCAACATTGTTTGGGTGAATACAGATTCCTAAGTATTGCAGACTGAAAATACAGGTTTTAATTAGAGCTGTCTGAGCTTCAAAATACCTGAACTCACATTAAGCCTGGCAAATTTTCAGAAATCTAGGGGCTGCATGGAGCTGATTTAAGCTAAGCAAGAGTCTTCTCTTTTCCAGCTATATTGCATTTGCAGTTGCATCGCTGACTTGCAACACACTGAAGTGAGATCACAACCCATTATTAATGTTTTTCTGATATGTAAAAATGTTTTATGACCAAGGCCTGTCTTGTGTCATACTCATGTTAAACAGTACCTTACTCCCAGGGAATTTCTACTGAAAAATTTGAATGACTTCCAGAGTAGAGGATCTACTATACATGACTGAAAAGCTGAATCAACTCCAAAAGTTTGGTGCCTTTCTCAAGCTTTTCATGCAAATGTTTAAGACTGATATGCCCAGATCTATAACCTTCAAGATGTTTAACATGAGTAGTTTGCTGTGACAATAAAGAAACCTATTGCTGTCAGTGGGACATAAGGATCCATCAAATGAATCCAGTTTCATGATCAAGACCATAAAGGAAAAAAAAAAAGCAGCATGGCTTTTCTTTTAAAAATACTGAATGTATACAATTACACTGGTATACTTTGGAGGGAAAATTGTGACTCGCGTGACTCACATAAAGCATGTACAATTTCTCCTTACAATAGCAAAAATATAAGTCACAACCAATAGAATGACATAGTGCAATGAGCAGAAAAAATGACATGAAAATATCAATTCACAGGTACAAATATGGTAAAATATAATGCATTGCACTTTTATGTGGCTGTTAATAGATATATGCATACAAAAGTATACATGTAGTAGATACAGGCATATGTATAATCCAGTGTTGTTAATATGATTGCAAGTATTTTATTTATCAGATGTGTTGGTTAATTAATGCAATTGTTCTAGATATGATTTGAATGTTACTGAAGCAGAAGCACACTGATTTGTTTTTTTCTCTTCTGTGTTTTTGCTAGCTCCTACTGGCCATGGTAGGCTCTACAGATGACATTCTGCAGGAGGCAGCAGCTGGTTGCATAGCAAACATTCGCAGATTGGCTCTGGCAACAGAAAAAGCAAAATATGGCTGATGCTTCAGCAGCTTTTACCAACACACTTGTTTAGCAATTCAGCTACATTTAAATACACAACTACTCCTTCTAGCATCTGTATTTCATAGCATAGCTCATCTATTTGAAGATAATTTAAAAAAAAACAAATCTGTGGAAACTTATGTTTGATTTTACATTACTGGATTGTCACCCCTAGGTTTGATAAAACACTCATACCTAATTTGGTGTGTGTTTTAGCATTACACCCATCCAAAGACCATCAGTTATGATACGTCAAAGACATTTTCTGCAATTGATGTGCTTTTATTTTCATTTATTGTAGCTATACATGGTTTTGCTTATCTGTGACATTACAATAAATTTTGCTTTTCTGTGTGTGTGGTTATGCAGCAATTTATGAATGTCTTGAACAATTCCCTGCATTATAATCTTGTCCAGTCATTCTCTCATTATGCTTTTGCATGTTTGATCAGTTGTGACTCACAGGAGAGCAGAAAATGTAGATACATGAATCTCACATCTGGCATTATATAAAAGCTGCAAACAGCTGTAGCAATAGACATCACTCCAAATTTCCCATTTCTACCAACATCAAACAAAATAGTGCTTAATTTTATAAGTAGCTGGTGAAATGTGTTTTAATTAACACGTTTAACTCAGCTCTAAATAAAGAGTCAGATTTTAGATTTACATTTGCACATTTTCTTTTTGTGGTTTTTAATTTTTAAACTGAAAACAACATTGTATTGATGTAGTTACTTTATTTCTGTATAAAATTATGTTCAGAATTACACTTGCTTTCAAAAATGCACAGAAATTATTATTGATACTATAAATTATAGACCCACTGTACATGCCATGCTAAACAAGTAATGCTAGGGCTTTTCAGTGAGAGCAGTAATGTCTTAATTACAACCACAGACTGCAGGCAAAAATGAATGAACACAAATATTTAAATTCCTTGCATTTGTAAGGGTCTCACTTCTGAATTGTTTTTTACTTCCCTTAATAATTAACAATTTTCTTGGTTTAGAAGAATTACAAAATGTAGAAGAATTTTGTAATTTCATTCTTTTCCTTCAACTAGCATGATTTCTCAAGGCAACTAACTTTCTTGCTGACAGGAGCTTCTGAGGAAGACATAATGCCAATCCACTTGTTTATTTGTGTTTTCTCTGAAGCATACATGAAGACTCATTTAAAATATCATTTTGGAAGACTTGCACAGTTTTGAAAAAGGAAAATTACACTGGGAAGGTGTAGAGACTATTTTAAAGGAAGGCAGCTATGGACAGATGCTGAAGCAGTGTGGAAATCAAAATGTCAATCCAAGTAGTATTTTTTGATCAGTGCAAACACCAACATAGTCACAGGGTTCATCACAAGCTCCATCAGCATCGAGTCACCACGTAAATGCTATTTCAGGTTTTTTCAAGCGCTGCTCCACAGGCCTGGTATGTTATTTTGACTAAACATGTGTATATTATTATACTGATGTCACAGCTGTAGTAGTATCATATGCTTCATTGCTATACCCAAAAATACTTCTAAAATAAATGCTAATTGCCAAATTCATTTGAAAGAGAAGAGGCTTGATTTTATTTTTGTCTCTTCTGTGAGAGGAGCTGTGGATACAAATAGTTTATCACAGTCTCACTTATGAATAACACGTAAAATGGTAGCTTATTTTTCTAACTGTTGAAGGGCAAAAAACTCCCTGAAAATAACTCTTGTCCTTAGCTTGACCTCTCAAGGCACACTTGACTGTTTAGCATGGATTTCAAATGGAATAAGTTCTAAAGCAAGCTTAATTTTATGATACAGGTGTCAGGGCAATAAATGTCACGTTTCTGACAATGACATGGCCTCAGTTTGCCATTCTCACTCACACTGGTAGCCCTTATGCCTCCAAATAGTTAATCTGAAACCTTTATTTAAAACCTCAGACAGTTAATCCCAGACTTAAGATAACTTACTTGTGCTGTTTTCTTTTCCTTCACCAAGCCTGAAGTTTTAAAGTTCTGTACAAGAATTGTTGAAATCGATACAGATCACTACACAGGCAAAGAACTAGTATTAGAAAAATACATCTTTTTTGGCTAAAACTGGTAGATTCCATGTAATTAATATAAAGAGATTTAGTTGTTGGAAAATGAATAAATGAATGTGATCCCGGCCCCTGTGAATGATGCAGTACAGCGTGTACATTTGAAAAGTTTCCACTTTGTCCACAGATCTGAGTTTCACAGTGCTGCAGCCCTTTGAAAAGGGATCCTCACAAAGCTGGGTGCCCCATGCTGCTCACACAGCCCTCCAACCCTCCTGGCAGTGCCCACCAGCCTATTCAAGCCCTGGCAGCAACCCAAGGCACTGCCAACACCCAGGCCCAGCACTCCCATTGTGGATACCCAGGCACCAGCCAGCTCCCACCCCCTGGCTCCCGTGCCTGGGAGGGAAAAAATGCCTTCACTCCTTTCCACCAGATGCTTCTTGTCCATGTAAACCTGTAGCCTCTTAGGAAATATGGTTATACTGCATATGGGGCTCAGTATTATTTTCAGCTCAGAGCAATTTGATGTACAAATTATTTTAGGTGCAAAAATGTAGTGATTTAGAAGGGGGAGTCAGGCTTTGTCCTGTTCAGTCGCCATCATCTGGTCAGTCTGCTCCCTCCATGTTTTTTCTATGTGATTCCTATACTTTCACAGTTTTGTAATATGTCTTTTTTCCCAGTTTATTTACATTGATGTTACCATCAGCAGGGAGTATCCAACACTTTTCACAGTTTCAGGAGCCAGGTCCCAGCTCTGCAGAGCACCATTCTCCAACTGGCAATCACAACGCCAGGCCTGCTCTTCACCAGCTGCTCATTGTCAGCTTTGTTCCTCAGTTACACTCAGTTGTCAAAAACCATGGAATCCAAATAAGAAAAGTTGTCATGAGAAAGTGTTGTTTTGAGTATGGAAATACTAGAGTTGATGAGAAAAAAAGCAAGAGAAGGAATCTTTCACATTTCTGCAATTATTTCTGGAACCTTATAGACCCACTACATCTTTCAGTCTACACATCTGTCAGCAGCAAGATAGCTTTTCTTCTACCACTCCATGACTTCATGATTTATTGCTTGGTGACAGATAACCATTATCAATAATTTAATTGTCCCAGGATGTTCAAACTACACATTTGAATCTGGGATTTATGTTCATTTCCTTTTAGTGTTCGTGCTAATGACGAGTGCATGTGCTCTGACACACGATATTGTCTCCAAGTTGTAAGAGAAATATAAACTTCACGGCCTGGGTGCAAGGAATCTGTGATGTATTAGGGGCTTTGTTATTCTGCTCCATCACCAAAACTTTCCTTTGGAAAGTAAATGAGTTTGAGACTCACAGGGCTGTCTCAAGATTTGACTCAGTAACATGCTTTAGGCTTACTGATCACTTTGAAAGCGTGGTACCTCTTTCATTCCATGTCTCCTGAAATGAGTTGAGTGAGCTGCTTACACTGGGGGTCAGATGTGAATTATCCCAGGAGGCTGAACTAGATAATATGTTAGTTTAAGAATTTCATCTCATAATAAATTAAATGGTTGTACCTTGCACATTTCCACCAAAATAATCTTTGTTTTATACATGACAGCAGGATGACTGCGATGGAAATATGTAATGTGTTTCTTCAGCAGTGGAATTCAAGTTTCCATGCAGGCTGTTAGCAGAGCTTATTTCCAGAGTCAGAAACTGACTGCTCCCCAACTGCAAATTGTGGTTTGCCTCTTCTTTAGCCACTTCAGCTTTGCCACACACTGCTCAGGATCCAGAACAACAGAAGGAGGCACTGCTGCATCTTGGCCACTCTTTAATTCCGACAACCTAATTGTGACTGTTCAGTGACCAGGTACAGGCCAGGACCAGCATGTTTCAGCCATAACCATTGCAGTGGTAAGTTACATTACACCATTTCTAAAAAGGAATCAATTTTGCCACTTATTGTTCTCTCCCTTGCTTAAACAGTGATATTCCTCAGTGTTTAATATCTTGCTGCTTTGGCTATTGAAAGCAGCCAAAAGTCACCCATTTTTGTGACCCTTTTCCTTGAGTGCAACTTTCATGGTAACTTGTGCTTTGCTTAGTTATTAGTTCAGTAATACAACTTTCTGGCAAGTATTTCCATGGACAACATCACCATGGCTTGTATTTATCTTCTTGACTTGTTTTTGTGTTATCTGCCAGACCCCTTTCAGTTGGCAAGTTTCTTTCTCTTTTCCAGTTGTTGTCATTGGCAAGTTATGTGTTTCTATCCTGGTCTGCATAGAGCACAGGACCTTTCAGTTGCTTGATCTTTTACAACTGCAACCAATTCTACTTTAAACACAAATGTTTGCCTTCTGAAGGGCTGATCAATGCACGTAAGGAAGTGTTGACTTTGGCTTCCATACAATGTGATGTGACCTAGTCCTGCCACTTCGTAGTTCTGCAGTGACACAAAAGCCATCTTCACCAGTTTCACGTTATCTTCCATCTTTTGAGAATCCTGACGTGGTGACAAGGTAACTTGGCCAGTTAAAGCCTTTGTCTCTTGTTACTTTGACTGTGTATTGGAAAAGGACCGTAGGAATGGCATTGTACTAATACTGAACCATGAAACAAGAGGTTGTAAACCAGCAGTTTTCAGTCAACTCCCCATTGCACCAGGATCCTGAATGCCTTTAAAGCTTCTCCATTCTTCATTAGGTGAGAAATGGCTGAGAAGCTTTTGGGGCTCCAGCATGTTCCTTGTGATTGGTAGTGCTGGTAATTTTTTGTCCAGCTGTGCTGTGTAACACCCCACTTCTGCAAGGGCTTGGTGAAGGCAAGAAAGAAAAGCTCAGCACCTGTGCTCCAGTGGCTGCATCTGGCAGCAGAGTTTTCCTTCAATGGCTGAGCCTTGAATCATACCTTCCAATATCCAGATTAAATAGCTAGGGATTTGTATCCTGCTTCTGAAAAAAAAAAAAGAGGCTTTAATAAAAATGGTAATTAAAAAAATACAGATGCTGATAAAATTAAAAACATATGGATATGGAGTTGAAATGATTTAGTGCTGAAAAATGTTGTTTGATTCAGTAGTAGTTAAACTTCCAAATAACTTGTCTTGAACAAGCAAATAGTTATAAGTATTTGGCTATGTGTCTTTTTTAAAAAAAGTGAACACAGATCATGTTGCTGGTTCCCTCCACCACTAACTGGTAAAGGCTGCACTATAAAATTAGTGCAGCAAACCACTCATCTTTCCAGTTGCCACATTCTCTGCCCCAGTTGACAGCCTTTTGGGGCCTCCTTGGCTCCTCAGCAGAAAGCACCAAGTGCAGTTCTGTTGCTCTAATGAAAACATAACAACAACGTCTGGGAAGCCATAGAATGATGCAATAACCGTGCAGCTCTGCTTCCTTTAATGTGATGAAGCTTGCATATTTGCCTGGCTCCAGAGTTTTACTCTTGCCAGTATTGTACTGTAAAGAGACTTGGCAGAACACGTTCAAAGGCTGTTCGTGGTTTTTCACTCAGCATTAAACCTTCCAATGACGGAAGGGTGGGGGAACACATATTGGGACAAACAGACACTCAAAAAGTCAAAAAGAAAGAGGAGAAGGAGGCTGGTGGTAGATGGTCAGCAGTTATGAAAACATTGGTTATGGGACTGGGGTTGATTAGGGCTGAGCTGAGACCCACTGGAGGACAACATCATGTATTGAACCAGTGTGTCTGCTGTGCCCACTTTCCAGAAGGTGATCAGCCCAAAAGAAAAGCAGCTCCTAATGTTCAGAGAGAAGAGATCAGCATTGCTTCATTGTCACAACCAAAGTCGTGCTGCTGTCCTTGATAACTGCTCAGTCACCATGGCTGCAGTAGTCAGAGGCTCTAGGATTGCCCTCTTTGTCTGGGTTTGCTCAGTATAGGGAAAGTCTCTGCCCCCAAGGCTGCCGGTCTTGCTCTGCAGACCTTCATTGAACTCATTTATGGCTGACTGGTTTTTTTAACGGCGCCATTTGGAAAGCAGACTACCTAGTCCTTACCCCTGCGTGAGGTTAGGCAGGAAAATATTCAAAGTGAAACTGGAGCAACTCTTGGAGAGAACTACTCCATACGCACTTGCAGATGAGGGGCAAAATATGTTCAGAAAGAGAAGTTATGGTCAGATTGATGCCTCCTTCCAACCCGTCCCACAACTGTCTGTGGTGGGGTGTCATGTAAAAGGAAAAATATTTGGAAAAGCGGACATCTGTGGGCCAGCCTTGGTATGCTTCCCAGAATGTAATGACTAGGTGAATGTTTTTCAGCGCAGCAACTAAGGAGTGTAGGTGACTGCCAAGCGCTGGATCTGATGTGGCGTGAAGAGGTAAAAAACAAAGAGGAGTGATTTGTCTGAAGAAAGTGAGGTTTAATTATTTCCAAACTCGGCATTAAAAAAAAGCCCTAAAAAACAAAGAGGAATGATTTGTCTGAAGAAACTGAGGCCTAATTATTTCCAAACTAGGCATTAAAAAAAAAACAACCCATCCCAAACCAGAACTCTTTACAGTCCTGTCAAGTTGTTTTTCAGATTTTTGCATATCTTTAAGACACTTCCACTGTGTGGACATGCTCCTTTCACCAGTCTTGTGGCTCTACAAGTATGGCTCTAGACGCCCTACTGTGGACATTTCTACATCAACAGTTACTGAGATCTATGTTATGATTTTAGTTCCACTGGCAATTACTAATATCTAATTACCACTTTATCTGTTCTGAACTTTGTAGGAATATGTAACAGAAACCACTTCAACTTTTGCTAGAACTGCATTTGAATCGTGTGTCTCCTCTCCTACAAGACTGCCACATCCACACCCACCATCCCAAAAGAACTGAAAAATATTTCAGCTTTAACTGAAACTGTACTGGTGTACTCTACCATGTACATTCTTACTCTGGGAGATGAGAAATGCAGGCTCAACTGCCCCACAGCACCCTCAGAAACTGCAAGACTCTGAGTCTCCATCAGAGAAAGCAGACATGAGAGAGGCCCCTTGTGGCCTTGGAACAGCTATTCCATATCATGGACAACCATTACAACTAGGACAAAACACAACTGTGGTGCTGGTGCCTCACAAAGTACTGGCCAAAATGCTGAACTCCACAAGCAGTTTTAGTGATGTGAAGCATCTTTTTGTAACCTTGGGTTTAAGTCCTGAGAGGCTGAGATCAAGCACAGAGCTTCTCCATAGGGTTTCCCAGTTCCAGCAGTGCCAGTGGGGTGTTAGCACCCTGCAGCATTGGGCAGGGGGCTGACAGGCAGCCTGGGCTCAGGGCTTCCACCCTGCATCTGGCAGGGTGTGCACTGGATGCAGAGGCATATGTTTTCATAGCAAATCTAAGTGGCAGTTTAGAAAAGCTGACCCAGCCAAAGAAAACCTTGGAAAACCCTGCAGATTGAATCAGTAAAACTGTCTAAGAATTTAATACAATGAGAAGTTTAGCAATTGTCAGAAGTCCATGAGATATACATTTCTAAATTAAACAGGCCAATGAAGTAACAAGATTGTGCTTCTGTAATCAACTAGTAGCAATTTTACAAAGTTGTAAGAGTGCAGAGGGAATTCAGTTACAAAATGTGGCTGCCACCTGCAGGTACCCCTTCAAGGTTTCATTCAAGAAAGTGTGGAAAAAATAGGTGAAATCTCATTTTGCTGAGAGAGGTAACATTTCTCCTTGGCCAGTGGCAAGTGTGATTTGGGTAGGTATGTCTTGAATAACTGCAAACGAAATAATGGCAAAACAGCTGAGAGAGAGCCAAAGGGAGCTGCAGGCTATCCCTGGAGAGCTCCTGTTGGCTGAGGATGAGCTGCAAACCCAGCCTGCTGTGGCAGGAACACTGCCCTGGGCAGCCCTGGATGATAAGTAACTGCATAAAAATTCCAGACATGGATTGTAGGATATCACTCCTGCCCAAGGAAGGTCTGAGGGAAGGGATGGAGGAGTTACTTTCAGTGATTCCCACTTGTGGAGCTTATGTGCAGGCACCCAGTGTGCTCCAGCCCTGGGAGCAGTGGGGCTGCACAACTGCCCTCATGCTCTCTGCCTCTCACCTTGCTCTTTGCTGCAGGGGAGAGCAGCTGCACCTTCAGCTGCAGGGGAGGTGCTGGTCAGTCACATTGCTGTATGGAAGTGCGGTGGAAAGAAAGGTTTTATTAGGGAAGGACCTTAGGAAGAAGCAAGGAAAGATTATTTGATCTCTTAGCCTGATAAACACTGATTTTGGGATCCTGCACAGTGGAATGGAAACCCAGGCTGCCAAGATCCAAAGCCAGCCCCTCTTCTGAGAAATCATTCTGGCCAACAAGGGACATGAACCAACGTTGCATCTACTCAGAAAAGGGATACATGGCCCATACTACTCTCATGCTGCTCCCTTTTCCATAAATACACAAAAGTGCATGTTCCTCTGCTATGAGAAGAGAGCTTCAGAAAGTTTTAAAGGAATTTTCTTCCTTTAAAGAAGGAAG